TTTTTTCTGATTTTTCCTCAATCAGAGTTGTATCCAAGTGTTTGTCTTCATTTTCCCTGATCCTGTCTTCCATCATTTCAAACCTGCTCCTCAGCCCTTCTATGACACTGTCCATTTCTGAAATCTTGTTATTTATCTTTTGGATTTCTAATTGTTGTTTTGGTATGGTTTCTAGTTGTGAATTTCTTTTGGTGTTTTATTCCTGTATTATTTTCCTGAATTCTTCCATTTTCTTGTCTGTATTTTCCATGAATTTGTCTGCCTTTTCCATGAATTTGTCTGTTTTTTCCTCATTTTTGTCTGCTTTTTGCTTCAACTCTTGGATAGCTCCGGATATTAGAGATTTGAATTCCCTATCAGGGAGTTCTAGTGCCTTTTCTTCTGCTGGAAAGTCATCTGGTGTTTTATTTTGGCTGCCTACTGGAACCATGCTTTCCTTTTTTATATATTTGTTTATATTGACTGGTGTCTTTGGGATATTCAGTAGTTATTTTCTTTGTTTATTGATTATAGATTTATTTCATCCTTTTTTAATTTTATTTGGTGACATCTGAACAGGCAGTCTATGCATTCTTTGTTGTTTGCTCATCTGTGGGCATGATACTTTTCACCTCCTTGTCCAATGGACAGGGCCGGTCACTCAGCTATCATGCAGCAGGGCAGATCCAGCTGAAGGGTAGGGGCTGGGATGGGTTGTTTGTGGCATGTACTAGGGCCTACAGGGTGGGCTGGGAGTCAGTGCAGTGCAGGTTCTGGTAGGCCATGCCTGTGCCTCTTGGGAGTATGATGTTCAGTGCATGGTGGAGGTAGGCAGTAAGGAGGGGGGAGATTGTGATATGTGGAGCTGAGATGGGTATGGGAAAGAAGATAGAGAGGAGAGAGAAACAGGAGACAAGACAAACAAGAGTGCTAAGGGAGCTTCCTATTGGAGTGGAGAGACGAGAAACTGAGAAATGGAGAAAAACAAAAAGGATAAAAGAAAAAGAGAAATAAATAATTAAAAGAAAGAAGAAAAGCCCCCAGGGATCACACTGGTGCAGCTGCTCAGACCAGGGAAGTGGTTCCCTGGCTGCGCAGTACAGCCTTGCTAGAAGGGTCAGTGATGGCACACAGCGCCAGGTATTCAGGAGACAGGAAAAGGAGGTAAGTATAGAGAGATGAGAAACTGGGAAATGAAGAAAAACAAAAAGGAAAAGAAAGGAAATACCTCCAGGGATCACAGCAGTGCGGCTACACAGAGTGGGAAGTGGCTCCCAAGCTGAGCGGTACAGCCCGGCTAGAATGGGCTCCCAAGCCGTGAAAAGAAAAAGAAAACAAACAAAAAAAGTTCCCGAGGATCCCAGCAGTGTGGCAGCACGGACCAGGGAAGGAGTTCCCCAGCCAAGCGGTGCTTCACAGCCTTTCAAGAAGAAGCAAAGATGGCACACAGAGCCAGGTGTTCGAGAGAAAGGAGGAGGAGGAGGAGGTGAGAGGCTGGGAAGAAACCAAAAGAAGCAGAGAAAAACAACACTAACAACAAAGAAATGGCACTGAGAGTGCCAGCCAGTGTCGGTGGG